GATGATTCTTCATTATTATTCCCACGACACCTACGAGCGTATAAATACGACCATACGCTGTTGAGCGAAATAAGTTTTTAGAAAAATGATTATCAGTGACAAGCTTGTTGAGGTTTAACTTTTAGATGATTGCGTTCTAGGGTTTTCACTATTCCATCTGTGTTGTAGTAATGTGTAGCGGTAAACAAATCCTCCGAATAAATAGTTTTCCAAGTCTCTGTTCATCAGTGATGTCTTGATAATAAATTCGACTGATGAACAGGACTCTTCGTTAACCATATTCAAAACACTGAGTGCATACTTTCCTGACACGAGTTAACTATATTATTTAAAACCTTTGTCACAACATCATGTCACTGATAGTCCCAATAATCAAAACCATAAATTACCATCTGTGGGTGAGAACTTTTCATTCACTTTTTTATCGTCCATTTTTTGTGGGTTTATTTGACCAAAGACGTAGCGAAAATACACTGCTCGACAGGGTTGTTATTTGAAACACTTTGAAATACTTTGATTGGGGTCTTAAGGCCAGTCAAATCAGATGTCAGGGATAAAGGGGTATGAAGATATATTTTAAATATTGCTGGTACATAGAGAATTCTATAATTTAAGCTAAGTAATTGCTGGATCTATTCGCTCGTCGTTTAAATACAGAGAAAATATAATTTCAGCCCTAATACCCAGTATTATAATCACTAGCTGTTGTACTACTGGAGCGCTCCATAATAACATTCTTAGTTATGCTGAAAATAACACAAAAGCTAGCTCAAGATGTTTCCATGGATCGTTCAATATTATCGTAAGGTTTGTTCGGATCGTTAGAGATACGCACTGGAATTAGTGATCGTATGCAAAATTTTACTCTTCAAAAATAAAAGTTTATCTAAAAGTTTTTTATGTCAAAGTACTGTAGTAAGTTGTATGTTGAGAGTACTATCAGAGAGATAAATTATTGACAAATATGAATCAAAATATTGGATTTTAGAGGAAGATTTTTGTTGTTAAAAGTACCTAACGTTCTTTCTTCTTAGATATCCGACGAAACCATTAGTAGACCTTCGTCAATAATACACACAATGGATCTCACATTTCTAGGTACTAGCCAACTGTGCTGAGACTCAACGTCCCTGTTCTTTTGATTGCTCAGTGTTAAAGTATGCACATTATATGGAGCCACATACATTCCTTTACAGCTTAACCAGTACCCTGTGACATCTGGTGTCATACGTGATATGACACGTAAGTAGTAATTAAAACTGTACAATGAGAACGATCCATAGCTTACTGTTCGTTATGTCCAGTTTGCACCAACTGATACAAGTAAGCTGTTACCAAGGTTTCTCGTGAATACGTACGACTGTCAGACTACGCATGAAAGTGAACATATCTTCTTACGAAATGTCCGGCTAGCGTGGAAAGGGCAGAGCACTATGCTGAATTGTCTTCACATAAGACTGACAGCCATTATCTCCCTCCGGACACAGCCCATGACAAAGCACTCTGTATGTAATGTACCTTTCATAACGTTAGTAAGTATATCTCAAATCCGTACAACATGTACATTCAATACGTGGAGTCAGTGGAAGATAAAACCAGAAAGCTTTTATAGACTTCTACTTGTTCTCGAACCGAAGGGAGTACTCTCAATAAACTTTGGTTTTCCAAGTAAAACTCTAGAAACATTCCATTTCTGCATAGTACACTGAGTACATCGAACAGAGTGGGACGAGCTAAAAAAACAAATCTTTGCGCACTTATCTGGAACGATTTTGAACTGCATGTTCACATACACTTCTTTGTGTAATCCTTTCTCAACTACGTCAACTTTCTTAACTAATTTAGAAGATATTACTAGTGTGGGTTTCAAGAACTTTTTCTCAATTGACAAACGCATATACTATTGGATATGCCACAGGTATTTGGAGTTTGACAACACTTTAACCAGTAACACCTTCTTATATGAATCGTACCCACCAAGTGAAATCAAAAGACAGAAGCGAGGATGTTCGAAAATATATTTGATAGGCTATCAATGTATCGAGGATCGTCTGATCTAATCTGGCTAGCGATTGCAAGGTTCCAACCCTTTTATGATTTACTCAATGGAGAAGGAACTACAATAAAGAGCAACTAGAAGGGGATCAAGGAAGCAATCACTCCAATATGCCATGAGGTCCTGGGCCACAAGAAGCACCATCACAAGGGATGGATCACTGTTGATACACTGGATAAGATTCAAGAAAGGAGGAACAAGAAGGCAGCAATCAATACCAGCCGAACAAGGGCAGAAAAAGCCAAGGCACAGTCTGAATACACAGAAATAAACAAACAAGTGAAGAGGAGCATTAGAACTGACTAACGTAAATATGTGGAAGATCTGACAATGACGGTTGAAAAGGCTGCAAGAAAAGGAAACATGAGGGAACTGTACGACACGACAAACAAACTCTCTGGAAATCACCGCAAACCGGACCGAACAGTGAAAAGCAAGGAAGGCAAAGGTAAGCATCAACATTGAATAACAACGAAACAGGTGTGTAGAACACTTTAAAGAACTCTTGAATCGACCAGCTCCACTGAACCCACCCAACATCGAAGCAGCATCCACGGACCTCTTAATCGATGTTGGCCCACCAACAATTGAAGAGATAAGCATGGCCATCAGACAAATCAAGAGTGGCAAAGCAGGAGGACCAGACAATATTCCAGCAGATTCACTGAAAGCAGACGTAGCGGCAACTGCAAGGATACTCCACATTCTCTTCAGCAATATTTGGGATGAGGAATGAGTACCAACATACTGAAAAGAATGAGTTCTGGTCAAAATATTGAAGAAAGGCGATCTCAGCAAGTGTGGTAACTACAGGGGCATCACTCTTCTCTCAATACCGGGAAAAGTCTTCAACATGGTATTGTTAAACAGAATGGAGGACTCCGTAGACACCCAACTTCGAGACCAACAGGCAGGATTCCGTAAGGATAGATCGTGTACAGACCGAATCGCAACTCTACGGATCATTGTGGGACTACGAAAAGGCATTTGATAACGTGGAAAGAACAACACTATGGAAACTTCTTCGACAATACGGCGTGCCTCAGAAGATAGTCAATATCATACATAATTCATATGATGGATTATACTACAAAATCGTGCATGGAGGACAGTTGACAAAGTCGTTCGAAGTGAAGACCGGTGTTAGGCAAGGTTGCTTACTCTCACCCTTTCTCTTTCTCCTGGCGATCTACTCTACTGGATTATGAAGACGTGAACATCTTGGGGAAGCACGGGATACAGTGGACAGATGGGATGCAGTTAGACGATCTAGACTTCGCAGATGATCTGGCCCTTCTATCGCAATCGCAACAACAAATGCAGGAGAAGACGAACAGTGCGGCAGCAGCCTCAGCAGCAGTAGGTCTCAATATACACAAAGGGAAAAACAGGATTCTCCGATACAACACAGAATGCACCAATTCAAACACAATTGACGGAGAAGATTTGGAAGATGTAACAACCTTTACGTATTTGGGCAGCATCATTGATGAACAGGGTGGATCTGATGCAGATGTGAAGGCGCGGATCGGCAAAGCAAGAGCAGCATATTTACAACTGAAGAACATCTGGAGCTCAAAGCAACTGTCAACCAACACAAAGGTCAGGATTTTCAATACAAATGTCAAGGCAGTTCTATTGTATGGGGCAGAAACCTAGAGAACTACAAAAGCCATCATCCAGAAAATACAGGTGTTTATTAACAGTTGTCTACGCAAAATACTTCAGATCCATTGGCCGGACACTATTAGCAACAACGTACTGTGGGAGAGAACAAACTAGATCCCAGCGGAGGAAGAAATCAGGAAGAAGCGCTGGAAGTGGATAGGACACACATTGAGGAAAGCACCCAACTGTGTCACAAGACAAGCCCTCTCATGTAATCCTGAAGGTCAAAGGAAAAGAGGAAGACCGAAGAACATGAGAAAAATGAACAAGAATTGAATGGAACTAGAAAAGAAGGCCTAGGACAGAGTGGGTTGGAGAATGCTGGTCGGTGGCCTATACTCCATTAGGAGTAACAGGCGTAAGTAAGTAAGTAAGTAAGTAAGTATACTACTAAGCTTTCTGAATGGCTGTGAACAATCTTAAATGACCTCATATATAGCTATAGCGTTTTCTCCATAACGTAAGGTCACTCGAGGCATTGAGCTACCACCATGAAATTTAGACCCGCACTACTACATAAGATTTAAGAGCCTTACGGTTTACTGAAAATGCCAATTCTTTGTGGTATTTTTACATCACGCATGAACATATAGGCGGTAAGTGGGTTTTCTTATTTGTACGTGGAGGAAGGGAGTAAATCCTGCCTGAATTTATTATAATTATACTCTTGTAACGAGTTAACGAATTTGTAAGACACTTTCGTACATCCTATACCAAGAACTTCTGAGATAGGATTGTTTGGCGAAAAGTATCGGTTAGGTCGGTCGAAATCCCCTCAGAAGTACTTAAAACAGTACTACTATTGAATAAATGGAGATAAAATTTGGGTGGTCACAGAAAATGAAATATACATGCTCACCTCCTGCTTGTCGTCGGTCGATAATTAAAAAGAGATGAAAGGTAGACAAAAACAATATGATGTACATGACTGCATGTCATTCTGAATTTTTTGAAATATATAGATCTTTTGAAGACACACATATAATTAAGTTAAGCCAGTGTAAACAAACCCCACTGATCTGAGGTACTTCAGATATGAAATGACCGCCTTGAGGCAAACCCATTAGGGTCGCTGAAACGAAAGAGGGGTAATTTCAATTGCAAACTAGCTGATGCTCTTGAGAAGAGGCAGTCCTGGTTCTCCTCTGTTTCCATCGTGCAAATCGCGCACCTTTATTCAAAATATTGGTATGCAAACGTAGTTACGACCTGTTCACAGGTCTCTTGGTGACAGAAGACCCGAAAACGCCATCCAAAGTGAACTTAATTAATCAAGATGGGCATCAAGAACATGTGTAAATTAGCTGGAAAGTCAGGGAAAATGATCGAGCATTATAGTAAATTTACTCCGGTTTCGTTGAGTTTGAAAAACCTTTTATCATTTGGTAATTTGAAGTAGATTTATCTTACATTGCGATTTCTCAAGGTGAAACTGCGCCGGCCTCTAAGTCCTTCGATTTTCTGAAATATGAACTCCCAGTTCGGCTAGGGAACATTATGCAGGAGATCCATCTCCTGCCCGATATCCTAAGAAAGTCAAAATCTGTCCAACAGATATGTCTATTGTAAGGTCGGCTCTTCTGCTTGTCATTTAAACAGGTATGAGGAGACATTCAATAGCCTTATCAAGTATGAAGAATGCTCGACAAAATCGCCTTCTACTTTATCCAGATTTACAGATGATATTGACCTTATCTTACAGAAGCATTCGAGCGTAGTTGAAATAATGGCATTGGTAAGCTCATTACATTTGGTCTTATGGTACAGGGTATCAAAGAAATCCAAAGTAATGAATCGTGGTCCGAGTCACAAGAGTTGCAACTACAGTATTTTCTGGATCGGTTTTACGTGAGTAGAATTGGTATCCGAACTTTACTTAATCAGCACTGTAAGTTTATATCATTCACGTGGTAGATAAATCACAAGTGTGTTTCTGTTACCCATTTGGAAGTATTCGGTTTTATGCCTGGAGATGAGTATTGATTGTTGGGTTTCGCCCACTTACGTCAATTATGGCGTAGGCGAGATATTCGCTTGTTAAGTGAAAGATGAGTTTACTGCTCATCAGTCCCCCCTCAATGGCGCAAGTGCATTCACTCTTTTTCTTCCCTCATACCCTAAGTTTATAAACTCAAGCGCTTACCTTTTTCTTCATTAATCTACATTTTTCCCGAGTTGTATTTTGGACGCCTTATTTTTTTCACTATTGTTGTTACTGTTACTGCATCTACTACTCTGGGATTTGTTCTAAAAATCTCGTCTCGCTGTGCTAATGATGTGTGACGACTAACCGGTATACTAATTCGTCAGCTCCTACCTTGCGTTTGACTGATTGATGGTTTGTTTACATTCTCGAAAACTAGTAAGCACAACTAATCCTGGTGTATTAAGTGTTAACCGAGAATTTTACACATGAATATGTACTCTGAAGTTGACAGCTACATGTATCTTTTCTCATTTTTAAGATCCTCATTTCTTGTCATAACCGTTTCTGAAGTACGTTGCTTAAAAATGCACCCCAAAATTATAGATGTATTTTTACTGATATGATCAATTCTAGATTGCCAAAATGTTTATGGTTAGGGGGACTATTTATGGGCCAAGTTGGTCCTCGTGCTGACTTGATAATCCTATATAGAAATCGCAGTTGATAATGTTTTGCTTGTACTGATTGGTTGCTCTCTCTCTCTCTCTCTCTCTATATATATATATATATATATATATATATATATATATATTGTCCACTGTAAGGATGATCTCAGTTTACTCACCAATCCGACAAGTGTGTTACCTGTGAATTTGGAGTTCTTATATGATAATCTATAGTGTTCTGACATTAGATTTCTGCACTGAATTTCAGGACAAGAGTTTGCTATCGTTTTAAAACTTGCTAAATGAAAATCTAATTGGTTCAAAAAGCAGTTTTTTACTAGCAAACATTCGTGAATTTTTGTTCATATAGAGTTAGGATTGGACGTTTAAGCTTGGATTATTCTATACTAATGTAGCCTGAAATACAAGCTTGTTGTATGTCAGCCATTTAACATTGGTTTTTAGTGATCTCAACTCAGTAAAAATTTATTGGCTCTAACATTTGTAAATTAAAACTTCAGTGTTTTCTCGTAGAATAGTTGAGTAAAGCATATTATTTTGTATTAAGTCTTACCTAACTGGTATGTTGAATGTGATGTTTCCAGCGTATATACTAATGAGAATCATTTCGAGATATTTGTTAGTATCATTATTATAAGGATGTTCCTATGGTCTTGTTTTGCACATGTATGTTTTACGTACCGAACTCTGACCATTACAGTCAAGCTATATGGACCCACATTCTGCAACGTACAATCTCACATTGGGGGTATCGACCCGGATTGTAGCCCAGTTCAAATCGCAGTAAATGCATACAATTATTCCAGACCACTGTGTATACAGGCGTATGGTCGTGCGCCGGGTTGTGACATTGAAATCCACGATTGTGTAAATAAAGAGCGTGCATCTGGTAGTTTCAACAAAATTGATTTTTGTGTGGATGCAGCTGGTCATGCGTCGACCAAATCTTATCTTTTGGACAACCAAAGGAACTGTGCGGATTTGTCTGTGAAGGGGAAAGACATAACATTTTGTTATATACCTGGTCATTTGTTTTATATATTGTATGAATTGTTGAAAAATTCGATGAGAGCTGTTACTGAGAACCATACTAATGATGCTCACTTGCCAAGAATACACATTCTTATATGCAACGGACCTGAAGATATCGTTATTAAGGTGAGAAGTTCAGCTTAATTTTAGTGTACTATTTTTAACTCATAGTGCCATCACGTCATGTTTTTCTGGTTATTTCTAATTAGATTTATTTAATAAAGTATATTCAGAAATTCCAGTTTAGCAGTCTTCAATTTTAAATCACTTCTGATCACTGAGCTTAATAAGAACAATTTTCTAAGGTTTTTGGCTGATTTAGTATGTTATTCCTAACCATTTAAGTAAGAGTCGCCGGAGAATGTTCATAAAACCAGTCTTACATGTCAACCACAGGCATAAATTTGCATCGGCAACAGTTTCTACAACACAACTCAGCATAATAAGAGGAAATTAACACGTTAAATAGCAAAGATGTTCAAGGGACAATAATACAAACCCTAGCAAAATGACTAAATAGATAAATTTATCCTAAAAATGGAAATAAAATTAATAAACAAATTGTTTAAAAGAGTATCGAGAAAATCTAAATGTCGGGGAAGTGAGCATATTTTCGTCACTGCTAATGATTTCGATTTGTCATCTAAGGTTTTTAACCGATATACTTTGTCTCATGGGCTCCAATCAGGTAGTCAACATCCTCACACACTGCTCAAATCAAGAGTTCATAACTGTATGAACTGATACTACATCTTCGTCTGACGTCTCCTAGCTTTCTTTTAACTTGCCCCTATGTCAGCGATGATTACACTTTGAGTTAGTTTGTAAGAGACTCAAATATCGCTATTGCTTGTGAGTAAATAAAAAAACAATCAACTGAGTTGCTTGAAAAGTAAACTAGGAAATGTCATATATAGAATGTCTGAACTGTTCAAGAAAATTAAACATTTTTGGATATATTGCGAATAGGACAATCGTGTTCCATGTACTCATTTCTATCATCCCTAGTTTTTTTCAGCTGGTTTTGTGTCGCTTTTCATGTACTGTTACAATTCATTCTCATTATTCTGAAACTGTAAATGTTATATTTTTAGTATATCGAATGTAATTCGTTTACCAGTGTTACAGTTTCTCTCGTTACGGCCCAGCAACTATTGCTTAGTATTTTCGGACACTGCTTCACTCAACAAGGCCCCAAATCAGAACACGGTTGAACAGAAATGTAATCATATTCCAAATAAAAAGGTTGGATGGAATCAGGCGTCACAATAACAGAAACGTTAGTATATTTATAGTTTTTACATGAGAGTATCTGTTGGGATATTCAGGAAAATATCCCAAAAATTATCCTGTTAAGCCTAATGCTATCCTTGGACATGAAATAGTATCATCTTATTGGTCAATATTTAGTTAGCGTGTTATTTTCCTACTGGTCATTATTGTACAATGTTATTTTCTATTTTATGGTACGTTGTGGACTGTTTGACTGGTATATAAACAAGTATGTTTGAAATATAATGATTCATATATCCGAGGCTGAAACTTGTGTTCTGGACTCAATTGGCTGGGCTATACAGGGAAGCGAGACCAATCAGAACCCTAGGTCGTTCTACGTGTTTGTGCGTCTTTGGTCCGATCAATAATTCGCTATCCCTTAATCAGCAATTATTTTTCACGTTATAACAATTGGCGACGGGGTGAAGAAAAGATACAATCCAAAGTCATTCTGTAATTGGACGAAATCCAGTCTAATTATCCGACCAATCAGCATCCAGATTGTCGTCAGTGTCCTTCAACGACATTGGTCATTAGTCATACAGTAATTTTCATCACAGGTGCTGATTCGAAAAAAATGACTCTTCCTTCCGATCGATTACAGCTGCTCTATGAACGACATTTGGAGTTATTAGTCAAATTCCGTACGCAGCTGCTAAATCACTCATGCTATGAAGACGCGACGGAAGTGGATGGATTGATATCTGAAATACACAGTGAGCTGGAAAATGACAACAGCCTCCATGAATCCTCGATGAACTGTACTTCAAACGAAACAGTCATCGATCATGCGCCCAGTGGTCCAGTACTTTCTATTTCAGAAACATGCCCGGTAATGGAGTCAAACCCCATCAACCCCGAAACATCATGTGCAGACAGTAACATATCCAGCTCACGAGAAGATCTCATTGTTTTGCCAGAAAATGTGTTTCACGCATCAAATAATAACCAAGATCCTGGCACAGTTTTGTTGGGCACGGATTACCATAATCATCCATTATCTACTAATGATGCTCCTTATAAATTTGACAACAATATCTCAGAAGATTTGAACTCGGATGATTTCGAATTGAGTGGTGTGTATCCTCATTATCTGGTCGATTTTACTGGATTTCCTGTGCAATGTGTTTTAAATACAATCAAATTAATTGTAATTTGGGTTTATGAAGACCCAACATTATTTCGAGGGGGAGGATAGACGCGAGAAAAATCTAAAATCCGGACATCAACTCCGGATCTCCAAAAAAAGGGGAGGTGTTGGGATATTCAGGAAAATATCCCAAAAATTATCCTGTTAAGCCTAATGCTATCCTTGGACATGAAATAGTATCATCTTATTGGTCAATATTTAGTTAGCGTGTTATTTTCCTACTGGTCATTATTGTACAATGTTATTTTCTATTTTATGGTACGTTGTGGACTGTTTGACTGGTATATAAACAAGTATGTTTGAAATATAATGATTCATATATCCGAGGCTGAAACTTGTGTTCTGGACTCAATTGGCTGGGCTATACAGGGAAGCGAGACCAATCAGAACCCTAGGTCGTTCTACGTGTTTGTGCGTCTTTGGTCCGATCAATAATTCGCTACCCTTAACCAGGAGCATTCATTTTTCACGTTATAACAGTATCCATTAGCGCTGATCGTATAAGAAATAGTCAATCTGCGTGCCCTAACATAATCCCGTACGGAATGTGCTTTAATCCAATCTATATTGTGCTAACAATCAGTCACAGATGATCTTGATGGCAAGTTTCTGTATGCACGTCTCATACGAACGAAGCCCTTGTTTAATAATGTAATGATTATCTTTTAGCAAGAAAATTCTTCAATTCGTTTCTGCATATACAAAGTTCACCACATCTCAGTAACTTTATGTTATAACTTGTGGCATGTGCACCCTGCTAATGTATAACGTAACGATACCGCCAATTAGAGAGCTGTGATTTATCTATCGGACCGGTAACGCATAAACCCGTACCAGCAGTCTAGAGTCCTTATTGGTCCTGCTTCCTACCTAGCCCAGCCAGTTAAGTCCAGAACACCAATCTCAGACTCTGCAATATAAATCATTTATTTCAAGCATACTCGGTTTATATACCAACCAGAGAGACCACATCGTATCAATAAAATAGGAAACAACATTTATACAAGATTTGGCCAAATGTGGCTGTGAATGTGGGAGGTAGTAATTAATAGACAGGGCATAATTTAAGAATGGTAAATCGTAGGATAATAGTTCATAGGTCAAAATAAGGCTCATAATAAGAGGGACATGAATATGAACAGTTTATTTATTTAACAATTATACGATAAAAGTATACACACAGTATTGGTCCATAAATGGATCCCAAAGTTACCATTCATTATGCTTATCGGGGCATAACACTTTAGTCCCTTATGGTATTGTCAACTTGATAGCCCATTTTTCTGTTTTATTTTTGCTACACGTTTCTGGTTTATCTGATTTGTACACCAATTATATAGTTGTATAAGTTATTATACCTTCTCATACCTAAGCCAGTATAAATGGTCAGGACTCGAATTACTACATATTTGAGCTTTCTACGTAACCTGCTTCACACAGTTAGATATCCTCATCACTCATACATTTGTTGTAAGTCACGGCTTCGGGCACAAACTTGCAATTGACTGATGAAATGATTTATGTTTATTAACAGATACTTTATCGGTCCTTACACTTATGGTGCACTTGTCAAGCGACTCCTAATTCTTGGTTTGTATTACTTGAAAATAATCCGAATTTTTGTACTTAATCCAACAACAAACAATGATGTTCAAAGATTATTTCTTTGTGAGTACCAAGAACCTTCATTAACTTAAAGAGCCATTAGAAGATACCAAACTATTTGCAGTTTCTGTTTATGTACATAGTGATAACAGTTTAGATTATACGAAGGATAATCTTCACAAAGGTGTAGAGCTTGCTTTAAACAACAAAATACACTGTTCCCATCATGGGAACCTTCTTTAACCCTCAAAATAAACATAGCTTTGCTTCAATACATTCTGATTCATGTTATCAAATTCCACAATAATACCGGAGAATAAAATAAAAAATGGAACTGTCTTCATAAGAGGATCATTGATGAATGCAAAAGAAATGGACATAGGCCAATAAGATAAATGGGTGGAAACGTTTGTATTTGATAATATAGTTTAGATGGTTCATTTGAATTACTGGTAACTGATTTATACTAGATAATCATCTATCATGTCTTTGACACATTAATCGATAATGTCACATACAGCTTCTTGCATTATCGCGCTAAAGGCGTTATATCACTCTTCAGTGATCAGAAAATGAAGTCCACAGAACTCGAAAAAAAGTGAGAAAAGTATATGAGCAAGTTTGAAGTAATGTGACTGCAATCGATTATAGTCACTTTACGCCTCTAATTACCAAGATTTAGCATACTTGAGACTTCATCTGAGATCCCTATGCTTTTTCATTCATCTTGGATCAACAACTAGTGGCCTAAGAGGTTGCATCTAACACTACAGTTTTTTTCACTTTACTCACACCTTGTCTATAACAATATATCAGAGTAAGTCTTAGCTATTCACTTCAGCTCATGTAAATTGTCCACCTTTGTTTATAAGTTGGGATCTTCAATATCTGCAATTCGTCGGTTAGACCAAATGTGAGTAATATTTTTTTACACATGAGTAGAAAAATGTGTGTAGCTTTTTGTTTTGGTATAACAGATCTTTATTGTGCGTTTGGTCAAAATGTATGCACTGTTGTCGTAATATGCGGTTAGGTATTTCTCTCTCGACCGTGGCTGCTACCTTGACGCGGTGGTCGGGCTTGCCTATCATGATGA